AAAATTGGAAATAAAGAAATCGGTGAAGAAGCAGCTACACATGAGTAAAAAGGCAGAACAAAGATGTGGACTGATAAGGTTCGAGAACGAAATAAATCTGGAATAATAATTATACAATAGTATTTTTTATCAAAATTCTTCGCTGCCGTCTTTACTCCGATAATAACATTAGTAAAAAGGTGACCTGTTGCAAGGCTGAAGCTATAGCGAAGTGCTTAAACGAATATTATGTCAAAATAAATTATTTTCCTAACTAAATGAACTGGTAGGGTAAGCTTTATTAAAAATTTTATTATTCGAGCGAAAATGGGACAGCACTATGGCATACCTATTAAATAATTAACTATACCTCAATATTCTATGTAGTTCTGTAGATCTGGCTTTATGGTCAACAAAGGTAAATATTCATAGATTAATTTGTATTACATGTTATGACAGTAGAATAGTCATCAAATTATTCATTGTTTCTTTCCTTCTTAGGCGAAAGCCATAAATGCATTGCGAAAGCATCCTCGCCGTCAGCATAGTACATCGGCTCGACATCCGCTATCCTACAAAATAAAATTCAAAATGATACATTACTCAAAGCCCAGTGTCTTTCTATATAGTGTCAATGCAGCTCTGTTGCTTCTTCTAACATGAAGTGACACATATTTAGCCCCAAAAGTATCTATCATTGCCTTAGAAGCGAGATTCATTAACGCCTGAGCTAGGCCAAGGCGCCGGTATGTCCTCTTGACCGCTAAAGAGGTTATATGTCCATATTGCATATCTTCAGGGTCTTCTTCCCTGAAAAGAATTAAAGACGAGAGCATACATTTTTGCTAAAACGTAGCCAACGATCTCGCCGTCATCAGCCTCGGCAACGTATGATAATTGAGGCCAAGAAAGACCATGGTAGAAATAGTATTTCATTTGGTAATTTTCAGGGAGGCAATCTAAGTTGCAATCCCTCATATTAAGCAAATCTGAAGGCTAATACACAGTAAAATAATACGAAGTCACTTTAGCGTTTCTAATATTCATTCTCAGCTCGATCAGCGCGCATATATAATTAATTAATTAATTAAAAAAGACTTAAATGTTTATTAATTTTTTATAAAATAAATTTAATTAATTATTTAAAATTAA